ATTGATTTCATGTAATATTCTAATTTTCTGAGATTGTGGATTTGGGGTTTTCATGAGCTGTAAGCCATAATCATCACAATTATGACAAATCACGGCTTGAACTATCTTGCTTTGCATGTAATGAGTCTATCTCATATATTAGTTTCACCTTTTAAGTTGCATTACTGAAATAAATGAACTTTTGAACAATATTCTAATTTTTCGAGTTTTACCTGTACATATAGCGCTAATTTCTCCCTGGCCTGGGTGTCGGATGGTACACTGTTACTCTTGCCTTTGGCATACTTGCTTGCAGAAAGCTTCGATTGTCACACACCTGTCAACCGATCATTTAATGCCCCTTTAAATAAAACATTTAAAAAAAAGAGCTAGTCCATCCATCAGAAGGGGCATAGAGATTCAGGCTGATCCTAGTGACGAGGGCCTGATGACATGGCCCAATGATAATGATTCTGAGTTTTAACCTCATACGGTTGTTGGTCCCAATTGTGGGCTGGAGTCCATGAGCCTGCATCTTTGGAGTTGGAGCCTGTTCTACGTGCTGCTGTTTCCCTTATCCGTTAAACACAAGAGCTTCTGATTCAACTTATGAGCTCAAGCCTGAAGACTCTATGCATTCCAGACTAAGGCAGAACATTAACCCACCCAAGAGACTGACATACGACACACTGGGAGAAAACTCTGATGAACTTATACCCACAGTGTTCAAATAAAATGCCAGATACTACTACCATTCATTGGGTAGAAGGTGACCTTAACTCACCCTCTGACACTTCTGGGTGGGCCACGGCCAATTCACTGGCCTGTCAACAAAGTAATTTCACTCTTACTGATGAGTTATGCAAATGGTTACAGCTGAACCCTGATGTTTGTAAATTACTTGTGAATATGAGTTATGGTGGATTTCTCCTTTACAGTTAATGTTCAGGTTTATGCTTTATATTAAATAATTAATATTACAGTGGGTTCCACTACCTGTTTGTGGGCCAAATATTTCAAGTGTGGGGAGCATGTAGCCAGGTGCTGGTTATATAAATATGCCTTTCTGGGACATTTTCAGATGAGACTATGATTAATCCATTTCCCCTTAGTGCCTAGTACTGGGACTCCTACATAACTTCCTGTTAGCAGAGTGGATCCAGTTCTTCTGACAGCAGAGGATCCTGGGATCTCTATTCCTATAGCCAATACAAACTGTCTTCTGAGTGCTGATTGAACTACAACTTCCATAGAGCTGGTGAACAGAAGGATGCTGGGAGAGCAGATATATTCTACAGCAGGGGACTGGCTCACTCTCTTGGTATGGGATTCAGAGCTGAACACAGGGGCACTGCCGTTCTCCTCCAGAGACAGATCGTTGGCCTACTGCAGCGGGACATAGGTACATAGTTAGTCTGGCTGAAAAAAAGACAAAAGTCCTTCCAGTTCAACCATTAAAAAAAAAAAAAAGTTATAATCCTACACCCACAATTGATCCAGAGGAAGGCAAAACAAAACCAACAAAGCATGATGAGAGAAAATTCCTTCCTGATCCCCCGAGAGGCAATCAGATATTCCCTAGATCAACTTTACCTATAAATGTTAGTATCCAGTTATAATCTGTGTATCTAGGAAAGAATTCATTCATTTTTAAAGCAATCCTCTGAGCTCGCCAAAACCAACTCTTGAGGGAGTCTATTCCACATTTTCACAACTCTTACTGTGAAGAAACCTTTCAGTATTTGGAGATTAAATCTCTTTTTCTCCAGACGTAAAAAGTGCCCCCTTGTCCTTTGTGATGACCTCAGGGTGAATAACTCTACACAAAGTTCACTATATGAACCACTGATGAATTTATACATGTTGATCATATCCCCCCTTAATCTCCTCTTCTCAAAAGTGAATAAATTCAGTTCCTCTAATCTTTCCTCAAAGCTGGGCTCCTGCATGGTTGACCTTCTCTGTACTTTCTCCAGTTCACCAATGTTCTTTTAGTGAATTGGTGCCCAAAACTGAACTGCATATATCCAGATGAGGTGTTACTAATGATTTGTACAGGGGTAAAATTATATCTCTCTCTCTGGAGTCTATACCTCTTAATACAAGAGAGGATTTTGCTCGCTTTAGAAACCGTAGCTTGGCATTGCATGCCATTACTAAGCTTATGATGCTTCTCCACCATTGATTCCCCCAGTTGTACTCCCCCTAGTATGCATGATGCATGCATATTCTTAGCCCCCAAGTACATAACCTTACATTTATCAACATTAAACCTCATTTGCCACATAATTGCTCAATTAAACAGTGCATTGAGGTCGGCTTGTAAGTTGAAGACATCCTGTTATGTCTGTTAATATCAGTTTTTAATTGCTCAAGAAATCCATACTGCGTTGTCACCAGAAGACCCCTGCTATGACATGTTTTAAAAACATGTCCTAAAAGTGACAGAATAGTGTATTTTCAGTAAGCACATGATTACAAGAATGTAATTTCCACTTCTGGGTGATTACCCAGAGGAAAATCATGGTGCACCGTTACTAAGCAGAAAGCAAGTCTTACATATGTAAAGAAAATAGAACAATAAAAACCATTACCAATTACAAAAGTTAACTTTTCTTTTAAATAACAAAACCAAATCCGAACATATCAAGCATATTTGCAGTGTTCAAACCTTTATATTTCCTCTGGGAAAATACCTTCTGCATTCTGGACATGCACACTTTGTGCCATTTAAAGGCAAATTCATTTTCAGTTAGTTTTCACTTTAGAGTGACATCAGTTCAGCACAGCAGTGAATCACTTCAGATTGTCTACATAAAGCATAGGACACTTCTTCATAAACCATTACTTGAAAGGGATGCTTCATCAGGAAAGGGGCCAATAATTACACCTCCCTCGCAAAATCCTCCCTTGGACAAGCACGGTCCTTAGCACAATGGAACTTAATGTAAAGTTCCATGGAAAAAGGAATGGCAACAAACCTTTTTGTGAAATTTTAACCACTTGCAAACTGGGCACTTTTACCCCCTTCCTGCCCAAGCCAATTTTCAGCTTTCAGCACTGTCACACTTTGAATGACAATTGTGCAGTCATGCAACACTGTGCTCATATGATATTTTTATCATTTTTTTCACACAAATAGAGCTTTGATTTGGTGGTATTTAATCACCACTGGGTGTTTTATTTTTTTTGCACTATAAACAAAAAAGTAGCAACAGGTAATTTTTCTCATTTGCTGATGTGTATTGATGAGGCTGTACTGATAGGTAACACTGACAGGCACTGATAGGCAGTGCTGATGAGGCGGCACTGATAGGCAGCACTGATTGGAACTGATAGGCTGCACTGATGAGGCGGCACTGGTGGGCATTGATGAGGAGGTACTGATGATGCTGTACTGATATGTGGCACTGATAGGTGGCAATGATGGGTACTAATAAGTAGCACTGATGGGCACTGATAGGTGGCAATGAGGAGCACTGCTGGGCAGCACTGTTGGGCACTGATCGGCAGCACTACTCAGCACTGATGGGCAGCACCGTTGGGCACAGAGCCCTGATTATCAGTGCAGATTTCTTCTTTGACAGTTACCGCTTAACGGCAGTGCTTTCCTCATGCTGTGTACTGCTGATAACCAGCAAGTGTATTTACATAGTGGTCAGATGTGATTGGACACAGCTGATCACATGGCAAAAGGCTGCTGTGATTGGTCTTTTACCATGTCTTGTGATCAGCTGTGTCCAAAGGACACAGCAATCACAGCATCGGGGTGCGCACCGGTGGGGGTGCGTTCTAGGAGAACATCATATGACGCCCTCCCAGAACTGGACTACCGCGCTGTAGCCGTCACTCAGCTGTAGCGCAGTAGTAAAGTGGTTAATAATGATGACAATGAGAATGTTGATATATTAATAGATTTTATCATTCGATCGAGGCCAGTGACTCAAGTGTGAAATAATGGTAATCCACAACCTTCCTGATAGAATTCTGAGTATAGTTATCTCACTCCTTGTCACTTGCCATTTTCCCAGACTTTTCAAGCACCAGACAACATAGGGTGGGAACAGTAACAGAACCACAACCTTTTCTCTAAAAAAATTACCATTCATCCAGGTAAAATGGCCAGTCCATTTTCAGAAATCTTAAAACTAACAAAAGCAGCTTCTCTAATTAGATGTGTTAAGACTGAATTAATTAGGTGTTTTTGAAATAAGGCATGGGGTTGCTCACTTCTGTTCTTTCTTTGCAGATACTGTCAGTGACATTTCTGTTAACAGTATTAAATCTATTCTGTCACACTTCAGTAGTAGGATGGTTAACTGTATTCTGCTCTGATGGATGCCCCCTATTCTGGCCAAAGATCCAGCAAAGTGTACTATCAACCAGCTTTATATAGTTAATTCAACAAAATTGACTCTCTAACACTTTGTTGCCTAATGGTTTGGCTCACTTTTAGTGAATCTTCTAGGGATTTATCTTAGGGCATGTTCACACAGGTGTTAAAAAAAAAAAAAAGACCGAGAATGGTTTTGTTCTTGCTTTTATTCTCTCCATACAGGCCAGTGTGGGTACATAGCAAACTCATGGTAAAGACATCACAAACACAGCTCAAATGCCCATGTACTCTATCTCTAACACTGTGGGGATTTTTGACCAATTAACCTTAAAAAGCATGAAAGTTACCTATCCAACATATGGCGAAGATTTATTTTATACAAAGGTAATTTTCATTGTTTGCCCATGGATGTATTCAGGAGAAAATTCATACATCTATTATTGAAACAAAAAATCTTCAGAGCATAAATATAAGCCATATTACAGTTTGTGACTTTAATTTGGTAAACATTTTCATCTTAATATTAACATAAACAGATGTAGAATTTACTTTATTTCAGCATATTCAAGAAGGCAATCTATTGTACAATAGGAGAAGAAGGGATGCTTTCAGACAAATAAAACTGAGGTAATTTAACAATAAAGAAAAACTGTAAGTTTAAAGGTACAGGATCTTCTAGTATACGGTTTGATCATATTGGCAAAATTCCTTGTAAGTAATGGGGCAGAGTAGATTTCAAAGCTGAAAAAAGGAAATAAAAATAATAAACAAATTAAAAACATACTTTGGACACTAACCTTATAAAGCATCTGCAATTTTTTTTCTGAGAAAATTGTGTTTCAATTAGTGAGTTTTTGTGAAGATACATCATAAATCATAAATAAACCCTATGCTTGTATCTAATCTAAAATGTTGAATGTGGATTTTGGAAATCCATAAGCGGAGCTCAGGAAATTAACTAATTTTCTATTTACTAAAAAAGTCTATGAAATGCAGACTGTGTGATAAATGTTATTTAACAAGCTTTCAGGCTGTTACCACACAGTACTACAACAAAGATCCACATTTCACATTTTTATGTGCACAGACATTTTCGGCACAAGCTTTCAGGGTGTACCCCCCTTCTTTTATTGTTCAAGCAGTACATGATATATAATGTTTTAGCAAAATTTTACAATCTCTGAGAAAGAAAAAGAAACACACACATACACAGCAATGGTAATATAATTGGTGTATTGGTAAAAGTGGTAAAATTGGAGAGGTAAGGAAGGCAGTGGGCTATGGAATAGGAGGAGGGGGAGTCACAGAGGTAAGAGTTGTCTTAAAACTATTTGATAGCAATTTGGAAAACACACATTTAGTTAATTGTCATTTGTGTCAAATAGAATGATAATTTTTCATTCAAAAGGTTTCCTTTCCTGAGTTCCCTTTAAGAAGTACTGTAAAACATTCATGTCTTCCATACAGTGGTCCGGTTTGTAATTTCTGTCCTGTTTTGCAAATCTTTGGTTGCATTTTTTGCATTGAATGAAGTACGCCACATTACAAGAGGTACAGCTGTATGATCTTGTGGTATTGAAGGTTTCCGTTTGCCTATGTGACACTTTTAAGTGAACTGATTTGGCTGCACAGTATGCAGCATTTATTGTTGCAAGGTTTAGTTCCTTTATTTGTTCCTCTGTTGTCAGAATGATTACTTTATGTCTAAGGTTGGGTGGTTGCCTGAAAGCCAGCATTGAGGGTTGTTGGAATATTTCTTTCAGTGCTGATTCACACATGTGCTGTGCACATTGAAGCTCAGATTTCACAACTAATTGATACAGTAGTTGTTCACTGGTTCAGGTCAGGTTTAGATCAGGTTCAGGTCAGCATTTTATCCTGTTGACAACTGATGACATATGCGTCTTAGAAACAGTCCCCAAAGAAGTCAATAGTCTGTAATCCACACCTGAACTGGACTGCACAGCTCAGAAATCAGACAGCACTCTTTTTCACTCTACACTGAATCTACACTGCCAGTGCATCAGACATATAGGAAGCAATGTTATTTCACACATCATGCGGATTGGATGCGGTTCACACCACATCCAATCCACATATATGTGAACCAGCATTCAGCGCTTCCTCCTCTTTTATGATGGGTTGCAGCTCTTTTGTCATCTTTCCTATTCCTTTCTTGTATACTGCTATGTGGTTAGAGATACACGATTATTAACGGTCCCCATCAGAAACTGTGCTGGGAGTGCACAGGACGTGTAAAGTGTTTACATAGTGCCACATATATTGGGCCTCTCGGCATTAAAGCCCACCTGCCGAGAGACTGCATAAATGCGGGCAGTGGTTAAAATGTTACTAAACCCACAACAGTAAAATTAGTCTATATATGCACTAAAGCATGCTTGTTATACTCACTGTGGAACCTAAGGAGTTCCTCTGCATTATGTTAAAATGCTGTTTGATCCTGACTTCTCTGATCCTCCCCATCTTCCAGTGTCCCCCTGTTATCTCCTGATAAGATATACCGTGTGGGGACAGTCTGCGTGTGCTTGGTTTGGTGTGTATTGCTAGAGTTTTTTTTTCTTGGGAGAGTGCATGTGATCAGCACAGGGTCAATCAGCACTGTCCAGGCCGAGGTCAGGAGTCCTTCAAGAGCAGGGCTTAAAATTTCAAGTCCTGAGCTGCTAGCCAGGCCTTAAGAGTTATTCGCCATCAACAAGCACACACAAACAGAGACACCTGTACACACACACAGACATGTACATACACACACACACACACACAGAAACATGTACACACACGCACAGAGACACATGTACACACACATACAGACACATGTATACACACCCAGGCACGTACAGACACGCATACACACAGATACATTTACATATACACAGACACATGTACATACATACACAGACACATGTACACACAGACACGTACGTACATACACACAACACACACACACACACACACACACATGTACATGTACACACACACAGACACATGTACACACACACATACATGTACATACATGCAGACACATGTACAGATACACACATGTACATACACACAGACACATGTACATGCATACAGAGACACACACAAACACACATGTATACACACACACACACACGTACACGTACACACATACACACTCCCCCTATAAAAAGTTGCAGTACTTCGTTGTTCACTCACAGAGCCGGGCACTGCACTCTAGGGGCAGGCAGAGAGCACAGCGCACGCTCCTTCACGCTCCTGCTCAATAGCTTTCACTGTGCTCAGCTATTGAGCAGTCTGAGGGCTCCCAGTGCCAATGACAGATCCTGCCTGAGCTCTGAGCCTGCTCAGCAAGACGGCCCTGGGGGACACATTCGCCCCCACCATAATTTCCAGTCGCCATTGGCGAGCAGGCGAGTGGAAATTTCAAGGCCTGTTCTAGAGCAAAATGAAAACTCCTCCTACATGTTCTCGACTGGACAACGATAGAAGTCACAAGACTGCTTTAACTGCTGATGAGAAAAGGTATTTAGCAGTTTATATTTACTAAAATAATTGCATTTCCATGTTCTGTGTACTGTGGGAGACCAGATATAGTGAATGCAGGGTCCTGGGTTTAGTAACACTTTAAGACAGGGTCTATGCTTGTACTGATGGTTTGTCATTGTAAACTTGAAAGGATTTTGCTAGTATCCTGATGTTTATTTCTGTCTTCTGACAGCATATGCAGTGATAGTTAGAGATTTGTCTGTGTATGATGGCTCATTTAGTGTGTTGGGGGTGAAGGCAGTATTTCTGTTTATTTTTTTTCTCAGAGATTGTCCTACCTAATATTTTGATAAAACTTTGTTTTCTTAACTTTTATTTTCTAGCACTGCTTGGACCTTAGAAAAAGGGAACCCTGAAAGCTTGTCTTTCAAATGTTAATGTCAGGTCACAAACTCTTGTTTGTTTTTGTTTCTTCATTTTAAAAGGCACAGCAAGATTGTTATGTTTAACCACTTGCCCTCCAGTGGATTTACCCCCCTACCTGACCAGGCCATTTTTTGCGTTATGGTGTTGCATTATTTTAACTGACAATTGCGCGGTCATGCAACATTGCACTTAAATAAAATTGCCGTCCTTTTTTTCCCACGAATTGGGCTTTCTTTTGGTGGTATTTGATCGCTTGTGCTTTTTTTATTTTTTGCGCAATAAAAAAAAGACCGACAATTTTGAGAAAAAAACCAATATTTTTAATTTTTGGCTATTGTCCAGTAAAAAAATTTTTTTAAATCTAATTTCGTCATAAATTTACACCAAAATGTATTCTGCTATATGCCTTTGCTAAAAAAAATCCCAATACGTGAAAATTAATTGGTTTACGTGAAAGTTATAGTGTTTACAAATGGCAGTATAGATACTGGAATTTTTTTAGTAGTAATGGAGGCGATTAGAGACTTGTAGCAGAACTGCAGGACTGCGGCGGGCATTCTGACACTGGGGGGAACAGATTGGTGTCACTAACATCACCCGTGACACCAATACAGTGATCAGTGCTAAAAAAAAAGCACTGACACTGTACTAATGGCACTGGGCAAGAAGAGGTTACCTCAAGGGGCGATCAAAGGGTTAATTGTGTGTAGGGAGTGTTTTACATAGGGGGTGGTGTGTGTGGGCTTCACTGTAAGCAGGAGCTGTTAGTAAACAAAGCAGTCCTCCCCCCCCCCCAGTCGGAGATACTTTGTAATCACTGGGCACCAACGAAAAATCACCAGCCGAGACTCGGTGATTGACAGCCGCGCCTGCGAACAGCGGCATGGATAGGGCGCACGCCCCCCCCCCCACCTGGAAATGCAAAATCACGTATATATACAGTATATGATTTTGCTCACCCCTGCCACCCTGTAGAAGTATATCTGCTATAGGGCAGTCAGGAAGTGGTTAAAATGTTACTAAACCCACAACAGTAGAATCAATCTGTACATGCAGTAAAGCATGCTTGTTATACTCACTTTTGTACGCAAGCTGCAAATGCTCAGTTTGGTGTTTATTGCTAAAGAGTTTTTCTTTTTTGCTGGGAGAGTGCATGTGATCAACACAGGGCCAATCAGCACTGTTCAGATATAGGGTCAATTGTCATGCAGCCTCATAGGACAGTGAAAGGAGAATGAAAACTCCTCCTACAGCTTTAACCAGTGGTATGCTGGACACTGATAGACATCACAAGACTGCTCTAACTGCTGATGAGAAAAGGTATTTAGCAGTTTAAATTTACTAAAATAATTGCATTTCTATGTTCTGTGTGCGTGGCAGACCAGATATAATGAATGTAGGGTCCTGGGTTTAGTAACACTTTAACCTGCATGTCTTCATACAAGTACTCTGGAGCTCAGCCATGCTATAAATATCCTGTGTACTGAAAAGGCATGTGTACAATAAAATATGTCTATAGGCCAAAAATACTGCATTCATGCTGTTTCAATTAACTCAGTCCAGATTGTGATTTCAATAAAGACTTTAGCACAAACACTCTCAGGAGACTTCTTTCTGCACAAAGCTGCTATATTTAAGACTCTCCATTGTATTTCACTGTCACATGAGATGTGAACACTTGACCATGGATTGCAGTAAATGCAGAAAGATATAGAAATTTCATTTTATGCCAGAAAAAGGAAAAGAGAAGTATTATATCTACTGAATCATCACCATCCAATCTCCAACTTGTTTTTTATGTGTATGGCCATCTTAATCCAATTGACATGCATATGAGTGCAAATCTAAGGACACATTTGGAATCACTTATTGATGGTTTTGTTTTCCTTAACATATAAAAGAAAAACTAAAAAAAAAAAAACACTAATTCTTAATAATATGATGCCTAATCAGTTTTGTTTTGCCACGGAGATTCTGCCTCCAGTAGCTATTTTTCCTCTCCTCCCCCATCCTTCCTCCTCCACTCTACATGACAATTTAACTGTAACAAAATTATTATTACTGTCTGCTCAGTCATCCCTCAACTCCAGTACTGTTTCAAATGCCTGCTCTCTTTCCCCTGTCCCTGGTCAAAACAACACAAGCTAGACCCTAATCCCAACCCAAGTGCCTTGCATCCCCTAATACCACCTCATCCACTCAGCTACCTGATGAAACAACCCCTCTTAGACAATGCACCCCACCCCCATTGATGCCCTCCATGCTCTTACCATCCCAAACGTGCCCTGGAATGGGCTTACTTTTGCTAGTAAGGCCTTATGCACACTAAACATTTTGAACGCTCCTCTTAGGGGCATCTAGTGGTTTTTTTTCTGTCTGTAAAAAAGATAGGTAATCTCAACACATACTGCTCTCTCTGCTTCTGCTCTCTCTATTCCTCTCAAAATATCTGAAATAGTTAATTTGTAACTACTTTTCAGTGCATTCTGGGCAATAGGGAAGGTCTCCTGAGGTTATTTTTTAAAAACGCTTCTAAATGCAAAAGCACATAAACGTGCATAAACGCGGTATGCAAACACGGCTAAACTAATGTTTTTTAACCTACGTTTCCCAGCAGTCAGTTTCCATCGTTCAGAAGAGTTTTCCAAACTTTTCCCGTGTACATGAGCCCTATATGTATCAGTTATAACCACTAGTTGGAATTTAAGCAAAAACAGAGTTTCCCTTCAGGTCTCAGAGTAGCTGTTAGGAAAAACACATAGGCCTAAATAAGTCAGCACATCCCCTCCTCCTTTCTGTTATTTGGGAAGGCAATGTCTTAAAGGGAATGTATAGTGTTTTTATATTTGTACATTTTTAGTACAGTAAAATTAAACTTGGCATATATTTCATATTTACTATTAGGGAGCAGCAGGTGACATGCCAAAGGCTAAAGCTACAGCTTTTCACCAAGGTGGTGTATTAAAGTGACTGTAAACCCTTACATATACCCAGTGAAGTGACTGGCTTCAGGTGATACACAGAGATTAAACAAATTCTCCCACATAAGTTGTACCTGTTTATCTGCCTCTCTTCTCTACATCTGTTGAATGTGCTGAATTTATGACCCTTCCTGAGGATTCAGAAAAAAGGGGGTGGAGAGCTGAACTTACACTCTAAGGGGTTTTGAAAAGCCTATATTATGAATAGACCTAAATAACAGAAGATCAGAAAACACACACCTAAATGGTGTGTGACCTAGCAGAGTCAGAACCTCTCCGGATTTTTAATGTTTTTACAAGTAAGCAGGCAGTGCTGATCTTTGGTCAAAAACCACTATAAGTTACTAGTATATTAAAACAGAGTGCTGGCAGGGTTGGGATTCTTATGGAGAAAGACAGAACACCATGGATGCACCCTTTAATAATATTTTTTTAAATAAAGATTTCATACTTATGAATACAAATCAAATACATCAGTTTATAAACTGTAAACTTTTAATAAAAAGAAAAAAAATATGGCCAAAACTATTAATGTTTTGGTTCAAACACTCATTTGTACAGTTGCATTTCTTCCAGTGGGTGGCAGCAAAACATTGTGAACAAATTGAAGCTGAGATTGTGCAAGATCATATACTCTAAACCAGGGGTCCTCAAACTACGGCCCGCGGGCCACATGCGGCCCGCTGAGGCCATTTATCCGGCCCGTCGGCAGGGGGGTATTTTCCGGAGGAAGGGACACTAAGTACAAGGGAAGCAGGGGGCTGCTGTACCTTACCTGGCTCCGGTCCCAGTCCCATGACGATCCAGTCCAGGAAGCGCTGCTCCTTCATTCACTCCGGCCACTCCCTCACTCCTGCCGCTCGGCTCCGCCTCCTCACCGGTGATTGGGCGCCAGAACTGTAGCTCAGGAAAGGCACACAGGCGGCCAATCACCTGCGAGAAGGCGGAGCCAAGCGGCCCCACGAACATCGAGTGAGGGAGAGGCCGGAGTGAAGAAGGACAGCTGACAGGTAAGTGTGCCGTGCAGATGGTGCTGCTGCAACCAGGTATGCTGGCTGCAGCAGCACCATGCTGGAACAGGGGTCAGCAAGTTAAGTGTCATTGGTGTCAGTGGGAGGAATAGTGCCCCATCATTGGTGTCACTGATACTAATGATGGGGCATTATTCTTCCCACTGACACCAATGATGGGGCACTATTCCTCCCCCCACTGACACCAATGATGGAGCACTATTCCTCCCCCCCACTGACACCAACGATGGGGCACTATTCCTCCCCCCCACTGACACCAATGATGGGGTACTATTCCTCCCACTGACACCCATGTTGGGACACTATCCCCCCCCCACTGACACCAATGATGGGGCACTATTCCCCCCCACTGACACCAAAGATGGGGCACTATTCTTCCCACTGACACCAATGATGGGACACTATCCCCTTCCCCCACTGACACCAATGACGGGGCACTATTCCCCCCCCCCCACACTGACACTAATGATGGCGCACTATTCCTCCCACTGACACCAATGATGGGGCACTATTCCTCCCACTGACACCAATGATGGGGGCACGTTTCTTCCCACTGACACCAATGATGGAGCACGTTTCTTCCCACTGACATCAATGATGGGGCACTATTCCCCCCCACTGACACCAAAGATGGGGCACTATTCTTCCCACTGACACCAATGATGGGACACTATCCCCTTCCCCCACTGACACCAATGACGAGGCACTATTCCCCCCCCCCCACACTGACACTAATGATGGAGCACTATTCCTCCCACTGACACCAATGATGGGGCACTATTCCTCCCACTGACACCAATGATGGGGCACGTTTCTTCCCACTGACACCAATGATGGAGCACGTTTCTTCCCACTGACATCAATGATGGGGCACTATTCCTCCCACTGACACTAATGATGGGGCACGATTCTTCCCACTGACACCAATGATGGGGCACGATTCTTCCCACTGACACCAATGATGGGGCACTATTCCTCCCACTGACACCAATGATGGGGGACTATTCCTCCCACTGACACCAATGATGGGGCACTATTTTGCTCCATAAGACACACTTGGGGGGAAATGTCTGTGCGTCTTATGGAGCGGCCGTGCCAGTATTCCCGCCGCCGTTGTATGTCCGCAGTCTCTGGTCATCTCCTGTACTGTGTCCGCATTGTTCATAGTTTTGTTTTTTTAAAACTAAACCAGGGGTCTTCAAACTATGACCCGCGGGCCGCATACAGACCGCTAAAGACATTTATCTGGCCCGCCGGGCCAGCCGAAAAAGAAAAAAATTGGGGAAAAAAAAACAGCCTCAGCCGGCAAATAACTAGGCTGCTTTCTGAGTCGGCTGCGAGGATCCAGCGAGCAGCAGCCTGGAAGCTCCAGATTTCACCTGCTACAACCAGAGGAGTAACAGAAGAGGAGGAGAGCACACCAGGCACCAGGTCAGTGTATTGTGGTTTCCAGTGTATCAGTGTGCAGTGGTATTGCAGTGTCCAGTGTATCAGAGTACAGTGCGTTACAGAGTGCAGTGAGTTAGTGTACAGTGCACTGCGGTATCCAGTGCGCTGCAGTGTACAGTGAATTTTAAATATTGTATTGTTTTTTTTTTCCTGGTTTTTTTGGTACTACAAATAAGATATGTGAGGTGTGCATAGGAATTTGTTCACATTTTTATCAAACTATAGTCCGTCCCCCCAGTAGTGTGATGGTCCTTGAATTGGCCCCCTGTTTAAAAAGTTTGAGGACCCCTGCTCTAAACAGAAGTTATATTATTATATATTGATTTTAAATATCCCTAAGTATATACGATTTAACATTACATGTTATAAAAATGTTAAACAAAAAGATGCTTGCAAATGATTAACATTAATACTCACCTGTCCATTATTGAATCATCAGTCAGTTCAAGAGCTACAGCCTCTGGCAGAATATGCACAGCCAACACATATTTTTGATGTCTGCTTTCCTTACCATGCATTGTGGTTTTATTAGCAAGCCCCTACATCACACCTGTGACATAGAATATCACCACTGCACATGGCAGGAAAATCAGGCCTCTGACAATTTCAGAAATATATTAGATAAGCTGAAAATCAACTTGCAGTTATGTTGTACATATCATGGAAAAGCACAGTAGAGCCTTCATCACCTACATCATGAATCCCCAAACAATGGGTTAAGTCTTCATGTTAGGATAGTAGGTGGAGACATGCAAATTAATAATCTGTGCCCCATGGACAACTGTACATGCAGAACCACTGTTTATAGAACAGATACAGCATAATATACTGCAATAAGCCCACTCACAATAACTTGTCTGATTATACTTTCGTTGGCCTCCATGTCCTACATCAAAGAAGCCATTGTTTCCATATACTGCACTGACAATGGCCAACAAGCCTGAAACAGCTATATGTAATATGTAATTTGGAATAAATGGCTCTATATTATAAGGCTGCATTTGTGCCATATCCAGGGGAAACAAGCTCTACCGACTAGCCTACAATAAGAAATAAAATTGTTCTTTGGGGATTTAGGATGAAACTGAGACAAGACAATTAGATACTGTCTGTTAAAAGAAGGCTCTTTGGCACTTCTCATTGGATCAATAAAGGGTTTTTGGTTCTTCAACATAACTTGCCTACTTTTGCTTCCACATATTATCATGGGAAAAAGGTTATGGTAGATGATACACTAAATCCTTCACTTTAGCGTTTATTGCCTACATTTCATATGGCAAATACACATTTTCAGACAGAAGTGCAATACTTCAGACAAGTCTTTTACCCTTACCTTGGTGTCATTTGAAGGCTGGGATCTCTGTTGCCACAACATTCTTTTTGTTGCTACATCACCTGTTTTGAAATCCTGTAAGAACATAAAAAAATACTTAAAGCAGAACTTTACCCATAAAAATGTGATAAAAAAATATTGTTCTTTAGCAAGGGACATACATTACGTGTTAATAATTATGCTGCTACCAAAATTAGTGTGCACTTTAAATTGCCTCCAGCATTGTTCCTGTTTCATTTTGCTGAAGTCTAGAGCCCATGAGCAGCAGTAAATCTTCAGTTTGTCAGCAGATCGGCCTCTACATTTTCAGCACAGTGCCGAAAAATACAGAGCAACTGATCATGCCTAGAGCAGGATGAGTCAGTGTATTACTGGATTTTAAAGTATAGCCAAAGCTTTTTTGGACTTTGAATCATAGATGTGCAGTTCATTTGTGACCTACTGTCATCTGGCATCACAGAGCCGGTCCATGCTCTGGAGAGATGATCAGGAACCACCCAGATGCCTGGACCAGCAGCAGGCTCAGTCTAAGCCTCAGCCTGAGCCAGCTGCTCCCACCCCCTGCACAGCCCAGTGCTCAAGGGGCAGAGCAGAGAGCCAGTGACTGACAGTCACCAGCTTCCTGCATCCTGAAGACTGAGAACTGAGTGATCAGTGCTGTTTGATCTCTCAGTTCTTGGTCTTAGAAAAGACAGGGGACCGATACTAAATCCTAAGTGAGTATAATTTTTTTCTCTTTTTTGAAACCTGAACTTCTCTTTTAAACACCATAGGCATTTATTTTTAATATTTTACCTGCAAAAGGGGCCAGCCTGAAGTGATATAGCAGGACTTAATTTTCTGGCTAAAGTCCTACCTTAACTTTTAAAGTTGGTAATATTCTCCTTTAGCGTTACTGTATGTTATAGAAACTACAGTATATGTCCCTTACCTTTGTGCTTGTAACAGTGCTTGAACTTTCTTGCATCTTGTTACTCCATTGGTTGATGCGTGATGTAACAGATCCTGAAAGTGTTAAATCCTGAGAAACAAAACAATTTGGGTTCTAAGCAGAGCTGCCATGTTTAACAAGTTAAAGTGTTATTAAACCCAGGACCCTGCATTCACTATAACTGGTCTTCCACAGTAACAGAACATGGAATTGCAATTACTTTGATAGACGTAAACCGATAAATACTTTCTCATCAGCAGTATATAGAAGTCTTGTGACTTCGATCAGTGTCCAGCTGAGCACTGGCTAAAGCTTTTAGAAGTTGTTTTCATTTTGCTCTCACTGTCCTATGAGATTCCATAACCCCTGACCCTCTGTGTGGCCCTGTGCTGATCACATGCACCCTCTCAAGAAAAAAAAACTCTCTAGCAATACACACCAAACTGATCATGTGCAGATGAAATGGGGAATGTGGAAGAAGGGGAGGATCAGAGAAGACAGGATCAAACATCCCTTTTTAATTAATGCTGAGGATTACCCCTTAGGTTCCACAGTGAGTATAACAAGCATGATTTACCGCATATACAGACTGATTTTAATGTTGTGGGTTTAGTAACACTTTAATATTCTGTTCAAAGAAATTTAGTGTGACATATGTTAGGAAAACAGGGTTTTTATGTACTCCATTTCAAAGGCAACTACACTTGCTAAACTGATCTTCCCACTAACCGTTACATCACTACTAGACATAGGAGTAATCACTGAGAACTACTGAACACTACGGGATATATAGGAAACCATTTCTGCGCTGGAAAAAACACTGCTAATAGCGATTTTTAATAGTGTTTTAGTAGTGGTGATAACTGTTTAGGAGCATTAGCAGTTTATTAGAGTTTTTACAGTACATGTAGAAAAAAGCTGTTAGGAGCGTTTTAGTAACATTTAGAAGCATTCATTAGCGTTTCGAATTTTTATCTGCAGGAAAACGCTTCAGAAAACTCTGCAAAAACACATTTTTTTCTGCTCCTACATGCTGAAGCTCAAAAAATACTAATGGTAGTGTACATGGACACAAAGGATAGCACTATTTAGCTTCTAGGAGCAGAAAAATAATGCTAATAACTTCTAGCAGCTTTAAAAAACACTAGTGTGCATGGAGCCTCAGGGAGTGATTTTTCTTCATTGGAGCAGCATTTGGAAGCGAAAGCAACAGAAAATATTCACATAAATATAACTATTTGGTATTCATACTCAGTAATACGCTTTAAAGTGGTTCTAAAGTCAAAAGTTTTTTACTTTAATGCATTTTCTGCATTAACCTCTTGGCCGAACACAAATGTGCAGCCTCCTGGGCCTAGACGCCCAGTGGCCGCACATATGCGTTCTATAAAAAAAAAAAAACATATGTGCTGAGAGTGCACTTGCAGCACACACGTTCGGTCTCCACTTTCGATCGGGACGTTTCCCAATCATGTGACCACCTTGACAGCGGTCACATGACCCCAAAACCCCGCCCGCCTCCTGGTTTCTGGAACCCTTAAAGGGTCGGAAGGCGCTGGCGCCAAAGGGTTAAGGTAAAAATACTTCCACTGCCTGTTCCACCCACTGCCATCCCTAAACACATTGAGTCTTCCATCGATCCAGCACTGTACCCATCTGCAGCCCTGCTCTCCCTTCTTCCTACAGGACACTTCAAGACCAGTAGGAGCCATCTGCTCCTGCTGCTGTCAATCAAATCCTGTGGACAAGGGACGGGAGTGTGGTCAAGCCATGCTGTGGTCCAGCACTGTACCCATCTGCAGCCCTGCTCTCCCTTCTTCCTACAGGACACTTCAAGACCAGTAGGAGCCATCGGCTCCTCTGCTGCTGTCAATCAAATCCTGTGGACAAGGGACGGGAGGTGTGGTCAAGCCATGCTGTGTGTGTCTATGGACACAAACAGCCCGGCTCAGGAGCATGCCTGCACTAGGTGTCCCCTCAGGAGTAGGCTTGCTGAGAGGGGTACTTGGAGAAGAAGAGGAGCAGAAAGTGCCTGTAGCGGACAGAAAAAGAACAGGGAAGGGGTCTCCCTGTGCAATATCTTTTCACAAAACAAGTACTGTATAACAACTTTTTTATTTTAGGTAAAAAAGCAGACCTTATTACCACTTTAGGCAAACCCATCACAGACCTGTGCAATTAAAACTGAAGATATGCGAGAAAGCTGATATTATACAAAGCAGAAAACAACTGTTTAAAACAATCAATAATCACAGATATACAGCAGATGCAATTATATGCAAATGTTCACTCTTCTTGAAATGTGTAGCTTGACTCCATTCATACCAGTATAGCTTCATACCAGTATAGCTGTCAGTGAAGCTGTTCATTGCAAAAAAGACCAGTACAAAAGTGTGCTGGATAAAAGGTGCAGTGGTAAATTCAACTTTTACATTGAAATTGAATTTATTTCCATAGAACATTTACATTAAATTAATTTTATGTATCTCTGTATCTTTGCATCTAAGTATCATTGTGTAGTTTTCACCAAAAATAATCTCTATCTTTGGTGTCCATTTATCAAGCAGTAGTAAATGACTACTGCTGAGTTCTCGAGGAGACAGATCTACTGTATGTGCCTGTTTTATGAAGCGGTATAAATTGCTTCTCCTAATGAGGAGAGAGGCGATCTATAAACGCTTTGAACTCTGGAAAACGGCTACTGTTGCTGTAATCTCATGAGATATAGCAAGATTACAGTAATAAGAGATCAGTAAAACACACAGCCGTCAGTTTATTAAGCAGTGGTAAAATGACCTCTGCTGAGTTGGTGGCTCTCCTCAGTACACTACACACACAATAATTAACAAAAATTATTAAATTTATATATATATATTATATATATATATATATATATATATATATATATATATATATAGTGTTTCTAAACTGCTATAGAGTTTTTTTTTTGGGGGGGGGGGGGGTTGTGAAAGGCTTTCCCACTGTCTTGGAGACTGAAGTAAGCAGAGGACAGTCCAAAAACTGTAAGCAGAGGACTTCCTCCTCAGAACTCCAGCGATTCTCTGTTCTCTCCCTGATGCTCCACCTTCCACCTCTGGGCTGGAAAATCTGGGAGGGAGAATTCTGTCACAGATCACCAGTAAAGTGCTGACACAGACACTTCATAAACAGGCTGTTTTTGTGCACATGAATAACAGATTCCCAGAATGCTGAGATGTTCAACAGAGAATATGTTCTCTGCTGATAAATCTCAGTTTCATAAACCGCAAATGATCAGAGATGAGCTGCAATCCTCAGGATCCTCATCTCTGTTTCATAAACGGACACCCAAGTTGTTGTTTTTTTATCAGCAAATGATCACTTTGAATTTGCCCAGGTTTGCAACAGGCTTACTGAATACTGTGTACCTTTATTAAAAGAGCACACATTCTTACCTTTCGGGACATGTTGGATTTTTCGGAGTTTTCTTCATCCTTTTCAAAAATAGTTTCTCTTATTAGCAACTCCATCTGATCCACCAATAGCTCCTCGACTGTGAGAGGGTGGTATCTTCACACTCTCTGATCTCTGAAAACACATTATTTAAATATATATACATAAGATACAACATTAAAATAAGTGACGTTCTTCTCAGTAAATTAAATTGTAAAATAAGTGTTCCACTGCATAGCGCTGTACCTTAAAAAAAGATTTCTATGTATGCAAACAACTATATATGTTCTAAATGATTCAGTTGCGTTTGGAAATGTGAACTGATATTATTTGTCTCAGTTACTGAAGCTGACAGAGCTTCTAATAATGCAAACTAGCAAACCAGAAAAACAGAATATCTTTAGGATCACCAAGAGTCAGTATAAGCCATCTACTACTGACATTATGAAACGCTAAGAAATCCTACGTTTCCATAGTTAACTAAATTGATTTCTAAGTAATTTAAATGAGTAAAATTAGTAATTTAATTACTAAATAAAATACAATCTATTCAGTTCTATTTTTGTTCCTAAAATGTAATTCCCATAAGGAATATACTTCCTACATTGATAGACTGATTCCCTTTAGGTCAGTTTGATAGAACATTATTATTATTATTATTATATACAGTATTTATAAAGCGCCAATAGTTCGCTCAGCGCTGTACATTACAAAGGGAGACAGAACAAGTGACAGAACAATACCAATACAATGCAAAACATGAGGGGATCAAGGGCCCTGCTCTTTCGAGTCTTACAATCTAGGAGGGAGGGGGTGGTGGTGGCACAGGAAGAGATAGCTGTGGGGGATGGAGTGGTAGGAAGAGTGAGGAGGGAGGCAAGTAAGCAGGGGGTGGGGTAGGCTTCCCTGAAGAGATGGTTTTCAGGGTGCGCCTAAAGGAGAGGAGAAGTAGGTGATAATCTGATGGGTTGGGCAGGAGTTCCAGAGGATGGGTGACATCCCTGGAGAAGTCCTGGAGGCGGGGCATGGGAGGGAGGAGACCAGGGAACTAGAAGAGAAGGAGGTCCTGTGAAGAGCGGAGTGTGCGTGCTGGGCGGTACACTTTGGATATTAGGTCAGTGATGTAGTTCGGGGCAGTATGGTGGACAGCTTTGTACGTCAGCGTTAGGATTTTGAATTTGATCCGTTGCGCAATCGGAAGCCATGGAGGGATTGGCAGAGGGGGGTGGCGGAGACAGAGCGGTGGAAAGGTGAATGAGTCTGGCAGCCGTGTTCAGGATGACTAAGAGGGGGATAGCCAACGGCGAGCAGGCCAGTGAGGAGGGGAGTTGCAGTAGTCGAGTCGTGATATGATGAGGGAGTGGATGAGCTGTTTTAGTGTTTCTGGGGTTAGGAACCGGTGCGGATTTTTGGCGATGTTTGCGGAGGTGGAGTCAGCACGAGTTTGTTAAAGATTGGACTTGGGCTGGAAGCGATAGGTTGGAGTCCAGAATGACACCCAGTACTCTGGCCTGCAGGGCGGGTTTGATGGTAGCGTTGTTGGATGTGACGGAGAAATCAATGGGGGGTGGTGTCCGGGCTCGGGGGGAAGACAAGAAACTCGGTTTTGGAGAGGTTCAATTTAAGGAAGTGGAGCGACATCCAGTCTGATATGTCGCTCAGTAGGTGTGTGTATTCGGGCTGAAGACCAAGGGGGTGAGGTGGGGGGTTGATAGATAGATTTGTGTGTCGTCGGCATAGAGGTGGTATTGAAGCCGTGAGAGTGTATGAGTTGGCCCAAGGGAGGAGGAATAGATGGAGAAGAGAAGGGGCCCGAGGACAGAGCCTTGAGGGACCCCCCCCAACAGAAGGGGGAGTGAGCGGGGAGGTGTAGCATTATAGGTAACGCTGAAAGAGCGTTGTGACAGGTAGGATGAGATCCAGGAAGAGAGCAGAATCTCTGAGGCTGAGGGAGTGTAGTTTTTTGAGGAGGAGGGGGTGGTCGACTGTGTCGAAGGGCCGCAGAGAGGTCAAGGAGTAGGAGCACTGAATAGTGTCCATTAGCTTTGGCGGGTTAGCAGGTCGTTGGAGAGTTTGAGTAAGGCAGTTTTCGGTGGAGTGTAGGGGACGGAAGCCGGACTGTAGGGGATCGAGGAGGTTGTTGTCGTTGAGGTGAGAGCATAGGCGGGTGTAGACTAGGCGCTCGAGGAGTTTAGATGTAAATGGGGAGCAGGAGATGGGTCTGATGTTGTTCGGGTCATTGGGGTCCAGGAGGGCTTTTTTAAGTATGGGGGGATGTGTGCATGTTTCAGAGGGAGGGGGAAAGTGCCTGAGGAGAGGGGAGAGATTGAAGATGTGGGTGAGGGGAGCGTAGGATGGAGGAGGAGGAAGGTCGTAGGAGTTGTGAGGGATAGGGTCGAGGGGCAGGTGGTGAGGCGGTCATCAGAGAGGGTCTTGAGACTCCCACGATGGTAGTAAGGTCAAAGGTGTGGAGTGTTGGGGAGCTTCAGTATGAGGAATGTAGGGTGGGGTGGGAAGAGGAGGTCAGAGCAGTGGGTGTGGGCCGAGGGAGAGGGGTGGGGTCTGGGGTAGCCTGGGAGGGTGAAGGGGGTGGAGGGAGTTTGAGCAAAAGGCCCCATTAAGAATGTTTTTCATGAAATGAAATGCTTTTTCTGAAAAAAGCATTTATTGTTATGTGATACATGTCAACGCAAATAGTAACTTGACAGAAATTCATTAACCACGACATGGACAGGATAAGTAATTTTTGGCTTTTCAGTGTTTTCAGATGCATTTTACAATGTGTTTGCTATGTTATTTAACTTGTGGTTCACATTTTTCAGTGCTTACAGTACAGTAATTGCAATGCTTTGGCATTGGTTTGTAAAGCAAAAGGCACCAATTGAACTGTAAAGGTAAGATTAACATTGCTGACTTGGTTTTGAAGGTAACAATTTTCCAGACCATCATCCTCATTCTGGCTTTTACCTATACCTAGTAGAGGTACTGGCCTGGAACAAGCACACAGACAATAAGCTCAAAATAAAAAATCTTGGGATAAAGATAGGATAACATTATTTGCAGCTACCTTCAACTTTCCTCAAAAATACTCATTGATGACAACCAGCTCCATTTTCTTTGACTTTGATATTAAAAAGCCTATGTAAATGAAGCCTGAATCAGCGCTCATTTATATTTCAATAATTTTTACCACGATTTTTTCAAGGGTATGTAATTGTCGGGAAAAACAGGGAAAAGATAAATGGTTCGATCATACAATTGTTACAATAGAACCAAAATATTATTGATCATATTTATTGTAATCTCTATCCATCCTTTGGATGGATGAGGTCTTTGTCCCTTGCTTTAGCAATATCATCATTTTTAGGTATTCATCGTATATTGAAGATGAACTTGTTTGGTGAAACTTCGGGGGTTATGGGGGGGGGGGGAGGAGTGGAGGGGGGGAGGAATAGGAATGAGGGGGGGGGAAGGATCTAAACTAAGGAAATTGAGGAGATACCCAGATTCTTGGTATGGGATGCTTGGTTTCATCTCTTGAAATGTCATCAGGTTGTAATAGAACATGTTTGGGTGTTTTAGCAAGCGGGTCCACTGGGTCATTGAATTTGTGGTAGGAGAAGTGTTAATAGCGGATAGTTTTTCCATTTGAACAGTTATTGGTGTTAAGGGTCTGTAATTAATGAAGTGATTGAGGGGGTATTATTCGTGTTTCATAATCTAGTAATATTAATTTTTGCTGCAAAGAGTATGTGGGGTAATAATTGTTCGGGAATAGGTGGAGAGGTTTCTCTATTCCAATGTGAAGGAGTGCCAATAAGGGGTTCTGGACATCGGGAGATTTGTTTATTTTGGATATTAATTGGAATTTAAGTATTCCAGAAGGATCGAAGTTGACTTGCATGACCATAAAATATTGGAATTGTATGAGGCCTATTCGCCACAATGTCTCCAGCATGTAAGAGCATGTTATTTGGATAGTAGATCGAGAGTTTTAATCGGGTCAGGTACCATTGATGGAGTATTTTTTAGATAAAGACTACCCCAGTGGGAGCTACCATCGGGTAGCTTTAATTAAAGTGATCTTTGAAGGTATCCTTTTTCCCAGCATTTTAATGTGATTTGGGTTGAAAGGATATTTTTCCCAATTGGTTAGGTAGGTTGTTTGTAAAGTGAACTGAGAGTTAATGAGGTGCGCATAGAAAGTCGAAATACCTTTACTCTCCGGTAATTGGGGTCTGATGAAAAATATGGTGTAGGCTGTGATTTGGTAGTATGGTGTTGTGGGGTTAAATTTATTTGTATGTAAACAATGAGCGATTCTTAGGTATGTAAAACTTTTCAGTAGTAGGGATTAATTATATGTTGGTTAGGAGAGATTGGAAGGAGTGCAAAGATTGGTTGGAATGGAGATCAGCTAATTTAGTTATTCCTTGTTTTGTCCTTTGAGATAGGTCCAAAAATGGGATGAAGAGGTTAGTATAGTTGGTTGCAGTAGGTACATGTTTAAAATCTTTAAATTTAGTGGACAATAAGTCTCGTCCCAAGCTTGCAGGGAAGCTTAATAATGCAGGGATGTTTTTAGGGTGGGTTCTATGATTTTGGGCGGTGGGGACAAGAGTATATTTTGAGGTTTAAGTGGTTGGAAGGGAAAGGGTTTCCATTATGGACCAGATTTTTTCCTTCGAAGAGGATTCCACCAAAAAATATAGTTGGTCTAAGAGGGCAGCCGTGTAGTAAGATTTGAGATTTTTTTTTTGTATTTTTTTTTTTTTTTTTTATGTCTTTTTGTGTTGTAAACTGAAAAAAGGCTAGTTTTTTTGTGTTCCATGTTAAGATGTGTGATTCCTGTGAATGTTCTGTCCTCTCTGAGTTGGAAGATAGGGGTTCAATAAGGAATGTAAATATTATCGGGGAGAGTGGACAGCCTTGTCTTGTACCGTTAGAAATGTCGAAAGGATCGGATAGTGTGCCATCTGTCAGAACTCTAGCAGATGGTTGAGAATACATGACAAGATGGCTTTCAGCAACCAACCTGTGATACAAAATTTTGAAGCGTGAGGTGTAAGAATTGCCAGT